ATATTTACTAGAATGTTCAAGTGAGTCTTTATATAGGAGAGGCGGGAACTGAAGTTAAACGCGGATCTCGTGCGCGAGGACCGCTAAACATACCTCTATTTTGCTTGTGAGCTCTCCAATCCCCATTCTTCCCCTATCTAATGCCAAATAAATCGTCTGCAACTAACCCGCTCTTGAAGTCCATGATTCAAGGGCACGAAGGTAGGCAGACGGTTCCTACATGCATGATGCCTAGTAAAACTTCTTCAAGTAGCCCTCTCCTAAAGTCTGAGGTCCAGAAGCCTAAGGGTGCCACAATTCAACCAAATCCCTTGTAGAGAATGCAGCTATGAGGCGGTGAAGGCATGCGAAAGCAATAAGCCCTACAGTGACCATCGCACTCACAGACTATTTTAGCATAATTTTGCACTGCAAAAGATATAACCCCGACTTTATCCTAAGTAAACGGCCATACCTATCAAGCACATTTCTAAATTACTTCGTAAGCTCGATTTCGCATCATGAAATCAAATGAGAAACGATTATGGAAAACTAGGCATTTATTTTCAAAAGAACTTGTTATAAATAATTGATCCTATGAGAAACTATTTCAAGGTTAAGTTCGTTGCTCCATTTACCTTCTCGTCGAAGCTGGTAGATGGCGTTCATACCGGAGCATCAGCTGGAATGCTCGATTTGCCTTTCAAGGTGATGTCAGAACCTTGGGCTGATATGTCACTCTGATTTACTCCTTACTGCTGTCTCGACAGTAACACGCTTAAAACACTGTGTATGATGCTTGTATAAGGATTAGTCTGGCCTGTCACCAGATCTTATTAGTCTCGTGAGTACATTGAAAAGTTACATCTATCGATGCCCTCTCTTGCTATTTAACACGGTTTCCTACTCGGTGTGTTAAATTTATACCTATTGGAAGCCACATCTCTCGAACATTAATATAAGGTTTTGGTATTTTACAAATAGTCTTCTATAAAGAAGGTAGTTCCTTCTAATCAACGCAGTTCCGCCGATTTGATTGCTTTATTCGTAGTCTACTGCCTTCTTTTTTTCCATACAGGTTCACTGACCCTTATACGCTACCATGTCTTCATACGTTTTGCCGGGAATGTATAACCGACTGGCTTAATGTGAAAGAGGAGTGCCCCAAGTGTCGGGAGCATTACACACTCGCGGACTCAAAGAAGTCATTTATCTTTAGTGACATTTTAAATGATAAACAAGGTGGCGATGTCACCTTCTGTGATAACTGCAAGGAGTTGTCGGCTTCCCTTACCAAGTGCGAACATTGTAGCAAATCCATGTGTTCTCTTTGCCAAACGAAGCATACTAAAGAGGTACATTTTATCCACACTTCTACGCTGTTATCCTTTTCAGCATTCAGTAGTCTTTTCATCAGAGTGCAATGCTGGTCAGAAGCATTGTTAAAGTCTCGAGTACTGAGGAATTAGTCTCTGCAACCCTTTTACACATTGCCATTTTCAAGCACAGCACTGCTGCATCTTTACTTTTGTCTATAATAGTTGCTTTTACTTTTTTGTTAATCACACACTTTCTGACAGCTTGAAGCATTGCATTGCGACAAAAAGATCAAAGGTTAATGTTAGAATCCGATTGCAGTGCTCGATAATTTATGCTTTAGATTGAAGAGGATATTGGCCGATTGTGTGAGGAGTTGAAAAGTGTTACACTACCACAATTAGACGATCATAATATGTCGCTCGCAATGCTGATGGATAAGGCAACTACTGTAAAGGAAGAGCTTGTCGAAGAACTTGCGGTTGCATACGAGCTGTTGGCCTCTCAAATAAGCAGAAAGGGCGATATGGGCTTCAGCTTGCTGAAACAAATGGAGGAAAGGGCAAAGCAAAATGTAAACGGTCAAATCGAGGCCCTTGATTTACTCATAGCAAAAATAGAGTCGTTCTCTTCAGCCTCTACTGACAAAATCGAAAAAGGGGTAAGTGCTTTTCGAGATCAGCTATTAATAGAACGCTGTGGGTACTGCTAGAGCGGAAGCGCTGAGACTGTCTGTGCCTAAATTTGAGAGGTGTGTCGTTGCTTGTAACATTGAAGGAGTGTGCGATGCGACCATCTATCCACTTGGTTATTTCTTATGTTTGCAGTATTCTGAATAACCGATGTTTAAGTGCTCTGTGAACACTCAATTTCAAAGGCTGGGTAAAATGATGTATAATTTTCGGTTCATAGGACTTGGAGGAGTTGATGGAATTGGACAAGGAGATATCCCATCTCCAGGCCGATGTGGAGAAGTTTCAATCGGAAACAAAAAATTTGGATCCGAGTCAGAATGCTGTGTCTTTGGAAAGTGTCAAAGTGAACCCAGCTTACAAAAAGGTTAGCTTCTTAGTTTAGAAATCCTTATTGCATTAGTTCGTGTTTCGCCATTTTAAATGTTGGTGACTTGTTTTGCTATTGTTAAAACGCCTCTACCTCTGCCTGCACAGTCTGATGCTAGGATTTGATGGTATTTAGAGACTCCTTTTTGACATTCTTATAGGTAGCCAAAGTAATAGAAAATGTTGACATAATTGTAAAGACGACGGAGTACTTTGTTACTTGAAGATGATCTAGTGTGTTGTGATTTTAATTTAATAAATCGCTTTTCTACAACGACTCAGCTCGTGTGTG